GGAGCTGCATTTTCCAACTTGATGGCTTTCCTAAACTAATTGCTCTTTATGTGATGATTTTGTACAGCCTGATTCTTGCTAGTGTAAATCAGGAGGAACCCCCAGTAAATCCAACCAAGTGATGTCAGTGCAAAAGTTTTGGGAGCCACATCAGAATCAGGAGTGCTCAATCTGTAACCTTCTTCTCCAAATTCTGCAACAAATGCCCCATGCTGGAATGGCAAGGAGGTATCAGAGGAAAACACAAAACAATGACAACAGTGCATTTCTCAGTAGCCACATCATATTATGTCATTGATGTCAGGTTGAGTTATATTAGTCTGCTTTTCATTATGTTGTGTTATGCCTTTTGACATTATGCAACACACTGTAAGTAACATAAAGTGACCTCCAAGTATAAAAGAGTACACAGTTTTTGTCAGATTAGATAGTGGCTATGAATTCTCAGAGAGGGAGGGGGGTTTGCATTTACTGTCCTCAACAACAAATGCACAGAGCTTAATTAACAGTTACAGCAGCCCTGGCTGTTTCCAAAACAGTGTGTGTGTCTGCTCAATGGGGAGAGGAGATTCACACTGGGATTTGCACTTTTTAATTTATCTAAAATTCTTCAGAGGTGTCTGTAATAGCTTCTTTTCTGTACCTGTACTGCAGGAGCTCTGTACACAGTGAACACAAGGCTCACTTGCCTGAGATTTGCTTTGTTGCCAGGCTCCAAAATTCAGTATTGAGACCAGACTTCCTGAGCAGCACGGGGTAACCTGCCCTCTGCATGAAGAATTTAATCAGCCACGGAGAGAACAACTGTACAGAGAAAAGAAAAGGGCATCATCATGGCTCTTGAAAGAACAGGAACTTCTGATAAATTTAAGGTGATTAAGGAAAAGTGGGTGGTTCAAGGCAAGTTGCTAATTTTCTGTGGAGGGCTTGAAATCCACCTTAGCTTGGTGGTTGTTCCTGCTGGAATTAGCTGATGTTCTCCCTTTAGTGCTTGGTTCATACTCCTGACCTAGAGTCTGCTCTGCTCCAGGACTTGCACAGAACCTGGAATGCTCTGGTGTGAAGGATGGAGTGCAGCTCTCCTAAAGGTCAGGCATTGTCCCCACCTGTTGGCAGGATGTTCCCAAGCCTGACTAACTGCCCTGGGTGTTCCTTTGAAGGCATCCCCTCAAAGGCAGGCCAGGAGACTCTCTGTGGGCAGGAGCACAGTCATGTTGTGGTATGGAGTTGGTCTCAAAACCTGCAATAACCTGCAATGGCCCCAATACTTCCAGAAGTACTTACCACATGTTTCCTACAAAGCATATTCAGCATTAGTGGATTTTTTTTCTGGCTGCAAAAAAAGGCCACATTCCATTTGGCACTGCATCTGGCATCCCACCTCCCTACAAGGATTGTCCCCAAGACCTGTCATCTGCCTTTTTAGATCCTGAATGTTGTACAGATCAGAAACATTCTCCTGATCATCAAACTTGAAATTGCAAAGGCCCCTGAATACGTTTGATGTGGGCTTCCTGAGCAGTAATTGATGTGGAATCTCACTTAAAAAGGTCTTTCAAGATTAAAATTTAACATTACTAACAGGAATAAAGTGTAACATTTTGTGTGAAAATACTGCACAGGTGAGCACTTAGAACAGCACAGGAAACAAGAACCCAATGTGTCATGTGCATTTTTCTTTATCATTTCTCCATCTATAAATGCAGCATAAATTATTATCTACCTAATTTCCAGGTACACAACATTCCTTTAAGGTGTGTATGGGATGCTGCCCTTGCTCATTAGGCCATTAAATCTCAGAGAATGAGCAGCTACCTCTCCTGAGCAGTGTGCAATAAAGCAGCTCCTCTTTCCACCCTGCCAAGAGACCTGTGCAATCAGACCCCTGTGACACCGACACCCACAGTGCTCTGCAGGACTGCACAGCTCTGCCTTGAAGTATCATTTCGTGGCATCACAGAGTCCAGAATTAAACATGAAACATTCTGCTAATCCTTGTTAAGTTGACAAAGAAAGCTGTTACCCTGCACTTGATCAGCTCCTAAAGAAAATGTTCCCCTTGGTAGGACATCAGACTCTGCTCGTGGCCAGACACAGAGACTGAGCACTGGAAAATCTCACTGAGATTTGCAGCCAGGCTGCATCTCAGGAGACTTCCTATTATTATTTTCTTTACTAATAAATCATTATGTTGTCTCCTTCACAGCACAGAGAGTTCAAATAAACCTGTCCCTGTGACAATCTGATTTTCTGAAGGAGTGTCCTGTTCTGTTGAGTCATGTGAGAGGAAAATACAAAGAAGTAGAAAGACAGATCAAAAAGGGGTAGCAGAAAGGGCCCTGGAGGCAGACTTAAGTTTGGTATTTAATATTTCAGGTAAAATATTCACTTAGCATCAATTATCTTGTTGGGTTCTTTTTTTATTTTTTTTTTCCAAATGAAATTGCTTTCTGAATCAGCCAGCTCTCTAATTACCAGATTGAATGATTGAAATTTTTAGGGCAATTAAATTCAAGCCTTTCTTTTTCAGTCCTTATGTTATTCCCCCCTTCTCTCCCTCCCCTCTCCAGTCTGGAGCCTTTCTATAATTTGGAGGCAGTTGCAGAAGCAAGCAGACCTTTAAAGCCAAGATGTATGTCTCCCTTAATTCCTCTGTGGATTTGTTTCACAGACTAAGCAGAGAGGGTTCTGGTCTCTCAGGACATGTGCATTGCAAACACACTGCATTGTGTGGGTTTTATCCCAATGTGTCATGTCATTTAAAAACAGCTTGGAAGGATTCATTTAATATAGAAATTGTGTGAAAAGATAAAGATCAATGCAGAAAATACAGGCACTATTGGAAAATGCCTGCAAAGCAAGCTACAAGACTAAGGAGCAAATTGATAATAACAATGATGATTGATGGTGTACTAGATAAGAGAAAACAAAACTCCCAATAAAACAATACAAAAGTCTGTTAACAGAGCTGCTAGGAGAAAACCATGAAATGGCTGGGTGAAAGGATAAGGATTCTTCCAAGAAAGGACACAAAATTCACAGGATGGAATCCCAGGCCCAGGTGACAAAGCTGCTGCTCATTTGTCTCTATTGTTGGGATTGGGGCATTAATCCTGCAGAATGAGTAACCACATTCTCACATGAAGGTTTGTGAGCTGGTCTGTGGATTTCAGTGGGACTATTCCTCCCTAAAAGTTAAGTGGATGCTTAACAGCTTTGATGAATCAGGATCTAACCCAGTGAACATGCTACATCTTTATTACAATGAACCTTGGAAACTGTGTAGGATTTGCCTCAGAAACCTCACTCTGAGTGTTTCAGGTTTTCAGACCCAGCCTAAGACACAAACCTGGGGCTGCTCTCCAGGTTTGTGGCAGGCAGAGGGACTGAGGGATTTCTTTTCATGCTGTGTTACACTGGGGATTGGTATAATGTCACTAAATCAGAACAATGAACACCAGGCTAACTTCCAGCGTGCATCCACGGCCACTTCACTAAAGCCAGATGAGCTGTGTTATGCCTATTTATTACCTAATTATCCCTGTAGATGTTTGAGGTGCCCCACCACACTAAGCAGTCATTGCCCTGAAGAGCACGCAGTCAGATCTAAGATTAGAGATGACAGCACTGCAAGGGGCTGGACCTGGAGAAAGAACAAGGTTCTTGTTCAACCAGAAACTTGAATGAACACCTGTCTCAAAGCTCAGTTAATTGATTGAGCACTGCTGTGAATCAAGGTTGGGATGGCTGATGGAGAGAAGAATTTCAGATGCAGGTTCCTGAAAAACCTACTGTTTCTGCTGAATTTAACGTTCTGATGTTCCTGTATGGATACTCTGAGAGACACAGAGATCAGACCTTTAGGAACCGTGATTTCATGTCAGCGGAATTTTGCAATTTCATAGTGGTTAATGTTTTGGCTCATTGCAGTAATTCCAATGGGATGGAATGTGTATTAATGTCCATGAGCATTCCCTGGGAGACACAGCCCTTGTGGCTCCTACGCTGCCTCCTGTTCCCTTCCTGCTCCCACTGCCACATTCATTACCACACACCTCTTCTTTCATGCTCTGAAGTCCATGGCTCTCCACCACTTTGCACTATCTTGGGATATGGCCCCGTGTGGCTGCATTTCTCTTCACAGAGAAAAGCAAGGCACAACTTCCCAAGGATAATTCTGGGATTCATCATTTCTCTTCACAGAGAAAAGCAAGGCACAACTTCCCAAGGATATTTCTGGGATTCACATTCTCTGAAGCTCAGAGAAAAAAACCCCAATTCTTATCTAAATTGCTGCCCCTCTTGCTGTTCACAAGTGGAATGCATTGTGGAAGATTGTTTACCTGAAAGGAATTGGTAATTGGATTCTGGTGTGAGTGTTTTGATTCATTGACCAACTGAATCCCTGTGTGTGTGTCAGGACTGTCAGCTGACAGTCACGAGATTCTGTGCAGCTGAGTGCAGTTGGGTGCTTGTGCAGATTCAGTTTAGATGTAATATAGTATAGAATAATATAATAAAGTAATTAATTAACCTTCTGAGAAAATGGAGTCCTCCTAGACGTCAGGGTTACCCTGTAATTACTATAGCCCTGGACTTCAGCATGTTTATAGATTCAGGGAAAGAGACCTACCCTGAGTCACTTCATTGCCATCTGCAGGGAGGTGCTTTTCCTCCCTCCAGGTATAGATGCAGTTCTGCAGTGCCTCAGACGTTTTGCTGGAGCTCTGAATGCCTGCAAGAGGCTCTGGGGCTACTGAAGTGGCCAGGATTGATTGCTGGTTTCCCCAGCATTTTCTCAAGGAATGTGTTTCCCTTCCTGTTTTTTCAAGATGCCATGTCCACTTAAAATCTTCCAGTGCATGCCCTGTGCTCATTATTTAGCAGTACATGGGAAAACCCCTTCAGCTCAAGCTTGCTGTGAGTGCTGTACAATTGTATCCCAACTGCCTCCTCTACTTATCTGCTGCATTATTTCTGTGAAAGCAAAAGCTGTGCATGGAACAGATGCTTGGAATGGTATTGGGATCCAATTACTGCACTTTTCCAACCTTACATCTATTGTCTAAACTTGGAGCAGGCATATTTTTATTCCTTGGTGACACTATATAAAGAGACAATTGGCATTGTGTTTGCTGGCTGACTGGTTGGCAGAGCAGGGGTGGAAGGAGCAGCAGCACCATGGTAGGTTTTATCCTTCCCCATGTCTGTTTATCTCTGTATTTCTTTCTGACTCTTATGATTCAAGCAGAGCAGGAATGATCACACAGCATCCCATGAAATCTCACCTTAGTATCACATCCAGAATGCTGATACACCCCACAGAGTGAGCTGGGAACTCCCAAGTACTGCTCTGCATGTATTTCACAAACGAGGAAGGCACAGGACACAGATGAATGGGCAGAAAGGAAGGGTTTGTGCAGCTCTGTCCCACATTCACAAAGCTGGTGTGGGAGAGAATTAAATCTGCTGTGGTGTGATGGGGACTGAGGGAAAGGGATTGCTCTGGAACTGTGACTGTGTTGCTCTTGTGACCATGAGGAGAAGTAGGAAGAAAATTCTGTGTCTTGTCTTTGCCCTACTCACTGTTGGCTTTTAGCTCTGGGACTGCACCAGCCACCTCACTTGGTGTGATTCCAAAGAGCAAAGAACTCCTGCCTAAGGAACTGTGGGCAGAGCAGGCAGATCTTTGTCTCCTGCAAATTCAGAGGAATGACTACAACAATATTAGGAAAAAAAAAGAGCAGGTGATTTTGTCTTTGCTTATTTTGCTCTTTTTTGCAGGTCCTTTTCAGTCTGTCTAAAAGCAATGCTGCCCTGTGGCTCCCTGGGGCTATGGAATATTTGATTGTGGAGAACACCAGAGAGGGAGTTGTATATGAAAAGCTTTCTCAAAGCTTAGTTCAAACTTGATCCTATTTAAGCAGGTGATGAATGTGATCCACGTGCTGTTCTGAGCAGGGCAAAACCACATTCAATGGCATTTCTAAAATCCATGCACAAAACAGGTTCCAGTTTCATCCAGTGCCAGCCCCAGTGTCAGTGGTTTCACACTAATCTTGTTCCTCACCCGTGTTTCAGAAGGGACCAGTGCCTTGTGCTGATTATGCCTCTCCAGGTGTGGATTTACAGGTTTCCCTTTAATCAGCCTCAGTAAAGTCTAAGCCAGCCCTTTTGTGGGGTGGGGGACAAGTGCTGGGTCTTAGCTTTTCTTTTTCCTCTCTTCTTTTTTTCCCCAAGATTTCACTTATCAGTTTTTTCCCTGCCTGTTTAGTTCAATGACACACCAACACTCATTGATGTTTGAAGATATTCCAGGACATTCTGTGATGAAATGCTTAAGTTAGGAGACGTGAAAATACAGTGAGAGACTCGTCTGTCTCCTCGCTCCCAGCTCAACTGATGATGCTCTGTGGTGGTTCTTTTCATTGTGCCTTTTGTTTTGGAAAAATCTCTTCTGAGGTACCTTACTATACAGGGACACATGAAACAGATTAAAAATGGAAAGAAAAAAATAGCCTTAATGAAAGAAAGCTGAAGAATATCTTTACATAAGGAAGTGATCATTTTTTATTAATCAGAGGGAAATGTATATGTAATTATGCTAGATGAACTCTGTGGGGAGGTTTTTTTCTCTCTTTATGATGTCTTAAGGGATTTATAAATATTACAGAGGTTTTATAGCATCATAATATTTCAGATGTGCAGTAAAGCTACTTTCAAAGGATTAGTGCAGACAAAGCAGCATAGTAAAAAATAATTACAAGTCAGCCAGTGCTACTAGGCTCTGACATCCAGGGCTGATGACAGTGAGAGAGGCAGGGTTCAGGGAGATAATTTTTCTAACAAGAGCAGACCACACAAGTGCTGTGGAATGGAGTTCTGAGAACTGTCTACGGCTCTCTGTTTATTCCAGGGAGTTTCAGACGAGCTGGGTCTGTGATGTCTCCCTGCATGCTCTGTGCTGCTGGGCAGTGGCACAGGCAAGGAGAGGGAAGGGTTTTTCTTATTCCCTAAACATCCCCGTGTTTGCTCAGTTCGAGTGACTCCTCGTAGCACATTTCTGTGCGCTGAGGGGAACTGCGTGCCCAAAAATAGCCGGGATGCTGCTCAGAGGTGCTCTGCAGGCTGGAACGTGCCACCTGCACCGAGAGCAGCACCGACCGCAGCACAGCCACGCCGAGTGACCCGGCAGCTGAAACGGGGCTGCTGCTGGCACTGCTGGGTGTGAGTGAGTGTGACACACTGGGAGTGTCCCTGTGTGTGTGACCATGTCTGTGTGACACACTGGGGGTGTCCCTGTGTGTGTGTGACACACTGGGGGTGTCCCTGTGTGAGTGTGACCATGTCTGTGTGACACACTGGGAGTGTCCCTGTGTGTGTGTGACACACTGGGGGTGTCCCTGTGTGAGTGTGACCATGTCTGTGTGATACACTGGGAATGTCCCTGTGTGTGTGTGTGTGTGTGTCAGTGTGACACACTGGGAGTGTCCTTGTGTGTGTGTCTGTGTGTGAGTGTGACATACTGGGATTGTCCATGTGTGTGACAGCCCTGTGAGTGTCCCTGTCTCTGTGTGTGTGTCTGTGTGAGTGTGACACACTGGGAGTGTCTCTGTGTGTGTGTGTGTGTGTGAGTGTGAGTGACACACTGGGAGTCTCCCTGTGTGTGTGTCTGACAGCCCTGTGAGTGTCCCTGTGTGTGTGTGTCTGTGTGAGTGTGACACACTGGGAGTGTCCCTCTGTGTGTGTGACAGCCCTAGGAGTGCCTGTGTGTCTGTGCATGTATGTGTGTCAGTGTGTGTGTATGTGTGGGACAGCCCTGGGAGTGTGTGTCAGTGTGTGTCAGGACACCCTGGGGGTGTCCCTGTGTCTGTATGTGTCTGTATGTGTATGTGTGTCTGTATGTGTGTGTGACAGCCCTGGGAGTGTTTCTGTGTGTGTGTGAGACCATGTGTGTGTGTCCCTGTGTTTGTCCATATGTGTGTATGTGTCCCCCCATATGTGTTTGTGTGGCCGTGTGTGTGTGATCATGTGTCCATCCATGTGTGTGACAGCCCCGTGTGTACACACAGGGACTGCTCATCTCTTCACATGAAAGAGAAGAAGATTTACTGGGTTGGGAAAAGCAGCTGTTGAATTTTGGCCCATCTATAAATTCTGGCCCATCTGCTGGGTTTTGTCCTATCTGCTGGATTTTGGCTCATCTGTTGAATTTTGGCCCATCTATTAAATCCCATTTGTTGGATTTTGGCCCAGCTGTTGGGTTTTGGCCCAGCTGTTGGATTTGGGGTCTTCAAGGTGGAGGATCCTGTGGCTGGAGAGGCTGGGGAGGCTCTCTGCTGCTCCCGGATGAGTTTGGGAGATAAAGCCTTCCCTCTGGGTGTCTGCAGGAGGAGAAGGAGCCTGTGACTGGGAAGGGTTCCCTGTGGGGAGGAGGAGAATGCTGGAGTGCCCAGGAGTGTGGAGCAGGGAGGCTGCAGGCCAGCAGATTTTGTATCTAGCAGGGATCAAAGGTGTGCCTGTGTGGGTGTGTGCAGGCTGGGACTACACACCAAATGGAGTGAGGATGGGAAGGGAGGGGTCTGTTTGTGACTGCAGAGCAGGTAATAAGAAGATCTTCTCTTTCTCAGTTCTGATAACATGGTTTATTTGAATGATCTGAGGCTGCTGCCTGTTTGAAATGCAAATTGTGCCCTTAGAGCAGTTTGTGTTGCTTACTCCTCTAGACTGCTCCCTCCAAGGCATGCACTTGGGTTGGCCTTGTGCTGCTCACCTGCCATGGAAAGGACCTCAACCACTCTAAAAAACCACTCTGTCCATAGCTGGGATGTTTGGTGCAGATGCAGTGTAAATTATCTCAGCAGAGCAAACCTGTGAGACAAAAATCAACAAATATCCTGTCCCATGCTGCAGCAATCCCTTGTCCAGTCCTGAGATGTAACTTCTGATTCAGAAGCTGTACTTGATGATAACAGAAATTTGAAGACAGGAAATGTCAGCACCAAGATCCCAGAGTGGATGAAAAACAAGGAGAGAGTGTGATGGATGAAAAAGTAATAGTAACTGAGAGTTGACATCATACAGTGGATCACAGCAGGGGACAAAGTCTGAGCAAAATGATGGATGATTCTGTCTTTTCTGTAGCTGTAGATGTAGTTGCAGAGGAAGGAAGTACAAAATGTGAAACAGTAAAAACCTGGTGGTATCTTATGTCTACTTTGTCCTGGACTGGATAAACACTTAGGGGTACGAGACAGCAGAATCAGGCTCTTAACAGTGTCCACTGCTGCTTCTCCCTGCAGGGCTCTCTCCCTGCTTCTCCACTGAGCTGTCTCTGGCAGAAAAATTAGAAGAAGACACAATAAGTGGCTGAGTAGGGAAGTGTTTCTGCTTGTGTTTTTGACTTTGCTGTCAGGAGCACCACACTGTGTCATCGTTAATTATTAAGTGTATTTTCTGAGGGGTTTAGAGCATGGTGGGCTAAACAAGGAAGTGACCTCCCCAAACCACACCAAACCAAATGACACCAAACCAAACCAAGGCTGTGGCTTGTGGCAGAGTGCTGCCCTTCTCTCCTGACTGCCAGTGATGTTCCTGTGCTGCAGGAAATGCCAGGTGGAGGTTGGTTATTTCCTGCTTACTGAAGGGTACAGGTGTGTCCCTGAGCAGCCACTGAGGGACCTTGCTCACCCTACTGCAACTTGCCTGGTTTTCCGTATTTTTCTTGGTTGTGTTCAAAATGCACTGAGGAGTGGAGATGATAAAGCTCTGCAATAATCCAGTGTCATGGATCTGCTCTGGCATCACCTCTTTATGAATTTATCAGGGCAAACAATGCCTCATGTTCTGAAGTAGGAACAAGGTATTTTCATCTCCTGCCTCCTTTGTATGTAGAGACAGAAACTGATTCCCCACCCCCTTATCTTCTAGGTCACCCTGAAATCAAATTTCCTTCTGATTCCCTTGAACATCACCCCCCTCCCACCTTTGCAGCATATAAAAAATGGATCCTTTTTCTTACATCCAGTGAGGCAAAGGCCACACACACTCATTGTCTTTGCCTGCCTGTGTCCCTGCACACCCTGGTTCTTTTGGGCTCCTTGACACTGCCAGAAAGGAGAAATATAAAGAACCTCAGTGAGGGAAACTCAGCTCAAAGAAAATGTCTGGTACAACAGAGTTTTCTTGGGACCAGATTTTGGTATGCTTCCATTTCTTCATTCAAAGCCTCTAAAACAAACCAAAACCAACCAAATAAAACAACAACAACAAAAAAGACCCTTTAAAATCCAGGCTAATTGAAAGAGTGCTAACACTGCTAAGACAAATGAGTGATACGCGACAAGCCTGTGGTTTCTCCTCTAAAGTGAAGTGTTGTTTTCTTCACAATGGGATGATTAATACTCTCAGGCAGGAATATTAATAGGCTTGTTCAGTTGTTGCAACATTCTTCCCACTGCTGTGCTATTGAGGCCTCGGAATCCGAGCCCAGGGGACCCTCAGCTCTTCAGTTTCTCATCTGGCACGTTTTGTATGTCAGTCTCACAGCACATGTTGCAACGAGAGCTGCTCTATCTTTGCAAAGTGCAGCCTGGCACACTTTGGTTTCAAGAGTGGGGAAATCAAGGCAGGCAGAAGTGATGTGTCAGTCACCCACTTTCTCCTCTGTGGGTCACCTACTAAATCCTTGGCATCTCAGAAGCCATATGTTTGCTCAGCTCTGTGATGTTCCTTTTAATGTGCCATTCTTTCAGAGAGAGACTCTGGAGTCAGAATCCTGACTGTGTTCATTAAAAAATTCTGGAGTGTTTGGAATTGTCAGACAGCAGCACAGAACTATTCTATTTCAGAGTTATTCTTTTCTGTAACACAGACCTATTTCTGTTCTCTTAGAGCTGTCTTTTAATTCAAGTTACCCACTAGAAAAACAAAGAACTCTGTTCTGTTCCTACTCCACCTACTTCTCTCTCAGCCTTCCCCCTCACAGCACCTCCCTGCCCACAGCTTGTGCAAAACTGGGGTGTAGTTCTTTCTGTGATTATGAATTTTCTGGCTTTTTAGAGCAGGTAAACTGCATTCCCAGTACTGGGAACTGGCAATCCAAGATGCTCTCTGTTGGATGCTATGAGACTTAGCTTGAACCTGGTGATGAAAACCAACCCCATCTGGCAGCTGTTCATGGGCCCCTGTGAAATGTATTGGTGATCTCAGCCCCCTCTTATTTATGAGCAGGTCCTAAATGGGATCCATATTCAGACCTTCAGCAGAAAAACTAAAAATTGATTGAGCATCATGGGCACTGATCTTCTCTGTCATCTCTGGAGACAACAAACCAGAGAGTAACTGTGAACAAATAGGTTAGGATGAATTTTTCTAGTACTTATTCTAGGCTGGAAGTAAATAATTTTTGAATTCCCTCCCAACCCAAAACATGTTATGATTCTATGATGCTACAGTAATTGTTCCCTGTATAATCAGTTTTCAATCTTCTTTGCCTTGTCACTAATGTACAGAAGCCTTTTGGGTGGTTTTTGACTTGCTGGTGTGTTTCTAATAGATATTGAGCTGCAGCTTTTGCATTTATCTAATCCTTCCTTACAGCTATAGCCCTTGCTTGGAGCCTTACAGCCCAGAGAACCCAATAAACTGAGGAATAATGGAGGAGTTGCCAGTGTTTGGCATTTAGAAGAGCTGGACCCCACTGTCTGTGGCTGTGGTGATGGCTGAAAAAATGCAGATGGTTTGCTAGCACGGGGAATTTATCAGGCTGAGCATGGATGCTGTGTTTGGCCACAGCAGAGCAGACCACGAGGAGGGCAAAGCCTCTTTTGTGTCCAGCAGAGCAGCTCCAGCAGCCCAGCAGAACCAGCCCCACTGCCCTGCAGTGCCCCCACAGCTGGCAGTGCTCTCCCCTGGGTAACATCTGCTTCCCCTTTACCTCAGGGAACAAATACATGTAAATACATAGGATTGTTCTGAGTATTTCCATTCGATCTGGAAGTGTTGAAAGCCTCCTCCAGGCACCTCACGTTATGTGGAAGATTGCCCATTACTGCTCAAAATAACACTTATTTCATGTGGAGGAGGAGGAGGGAATCTGTTTATTCCAAAATCAATATTTCTACATTCATTAAAAATTCCACTTATTAACTTCTTTTTTCCATGCCTGTGGTGGCATTCTATCCTTGTTTTTATCCTCACTACAAGTATATTTTCCACTTAATTTCCATTCCTATTTCCAGATTTTAGTTCTTTGAATTAGCTGATAGGAGCTTGACAGGTCTGGAGTGTGGGTATGTGGGAGAGTGTCTGACATTGCCCTAATTTCCCCCCCTTCCATATCCTGGGATCTAAACCAGGGTGGCTGAGTGCAGAAATCTGCCTGGCAAATTAAATTGATCAGACAATGTATGCTTCAAACAGAGTCAAGTGGGAATATTTTCTTGAGCTGCTCTGCTCCTCAGGATATTTGAAATCAGTATTGAATTTGAACTTTCACAGGCTTTTTTATTTTGATGAAAGGAGACAGTAGAAGTTGCCTTCTGTTTCATGCAGAATAGCCCAAACTAAGTAAGACTAATTTTCTGTGACATGAGAACCAGGTGGGACTATGATAATGAAGTTTAAAAGTAAAAATGATAAAGAAAAAAGTAATCTGTCTGGAAGGGAACTCAAAAGGCATTGCAGCTCATTATCCCGCCCCAAGTAAGGATAACACTGTGGTTAAAACACTTCTGTAATCCTTTGGAATCACAGATTTTATTCTTTACTGCAGAACAAGAACTATATTGTCTTAGGGAAGCTGGTTGGGCCCTTATTGAAAGATATTTAATGAAGCCTAGTTCTGACTGATTTTTAGTGAGCATTAGATTCTTAGATACCATTGTAGCTCTTTCCCCAATCTTGTTCTGTTTCAGCCTCCAGACTTGAGAATGGTGATAAAAGCAGTCCTGCCCTTTCATTTGAGATGACTATCTTGAATATTAAAATAACATGGTCTGGTGAGATGCTGCACTGCAGTGCCATAGGTTGGTGCACGAGTAGAGACTCCAGGAGCAGAAGGTGTTCCTGCTTGGGAAGGATTAATCTGTTCTGTCAGTGCTGGTCCAGACCAAGCAGATTTCTAAACATTTCTGTGTGAGTAGGAAATGATATAACTTCCCTTTCTAGTTCCTGAGCTGAGCCTTCATGCAGGGCCATGTTTGGAGTCTGTCTGTCTGTCCCAGCATGGGAACTGGGAAGAGGGAGCCCTTGGAGGCACTTACCTGAATCCTGGAATTTCTTGAGAGCAGCAGGCTGGCAATTCTAGCTCATATCTTCAAGTGACACCACTCCACACCAAGGGCTGTCACCCCTGGGCTCTGCAGAGCCAGTGTGGAGGGGAGTGGTCCCTGTGTGACCTGGGATGCTTTGAGGAGGAGGTGACCCTGCCCGAGGAACAGGCATTCCTGGGGGAGCCAGCAGGGCACCAGGCAGGATGCTGGGTCACACTTTGGGTCCCTCACCTTTTTAAAGTGACAAACTGTCCTGGTTTATCTGAGCTGTCAGGTCCCAGGACACAGCAGGGAGTGGCAAAAAGCCTCAATCTGTTAATAAGGCAGCAGTTTTTATCCCTTGTATAAATATATATCTATTCAATCTTATATATATATATCTAAATCTATCTGTCTATAAGATTGAATTTTAAAACCTTGTAATAACAAAGCACAATCCTCTTGTATTACTTGACTGTGTAGTTTTTACCTCCTGTTGAAGATGTAATTTGTTTTCATGGGTGCTTAACAGACAAAGGAATATGCATTTGATCTTCTTATTTCTATTACAGGCTCCCAAAAAGGCAAAGAAGAAGATAGAAGGTGGTTCCAATGTTTTCTCTATGTTTGAACAAACCCAGATCCAGGAGTTCAAAGAGGTTGGTCACTACTCTGCTGTTCTCTATAGTCTCCTGCTATTGCTAATGAATAACATAGGTTTTGTTTGTAATCCTTATTCAATTCTCCATCTGCTTTAATAGAACACACAGTTGTTTTCTGAATCATCCCTGTGGTTTTGGCTGGTAGATCATTTTCCTTGTGTGTTTGTTTGTTCTTTCTTTCATTCTTTCTTTCTTTACTTCCCTCACTCACTCCCCTGTTTCACTCTAGACTTATTTGAAAAGCACCCAAGCCCCCACCCCAAAATAAAGGAAAAGCATCATCTCATCCACTTCAGCCCTGATTCAGGAAAACCCTTGAGCACATGTTTAAAGTTAAGTGGTATTTTAAATAAGAATAGTCTCATGTGCTCAAGTATTGTCCTGAATAGAGATGCCAGGCTGGACCAGGGCTTTCATTCCTGCTCTGTTCCACAACAGCAGCAGAAAATATTTGTCTGTGCCCTTCTAATGCTGCCCACAAAGGAGAAATGAAAATGCCAAGAAGCCCTCAGCTTTCTCCACAAATGCCAATAAAACAAGACAACATGTGGAGATGAACTAAGCAACTTCCAGCTCCCAAGGGATTTGGTGTTCCAGGCACTGCAGGTTCTTTGACCAGTTACCTGTGGAGAGGTAAAACTGATGGGTGGCCTAAAAGCTGGAGCATATAAAAGACAGATAATCTGTTTGATGAGTTTCTGCTCTTTTTCTGTGGGGACAATCTAGAAAGTCCATGAGACCATCACATTCTTCACTGGTTTGTCATTTTAAATTACTGTTTTTTTCCCCATTTTTTCTAACTCATGTCTCCAAAGCAATTTCCAGTGTGATAAATGTCTGCTGTTTCATGTTGTGCTTTCCTGTGGCTTTCAAGTTTACTTTTCTTGAGGATTCCCACCAGGAATGCTCAGTGATGGAAGAGACCAAACCCAAGGCAAGGCCTGGGAATGTGACCCAGCTAAATTAATTGGAATCACTAATAATTTCCCCACAGTCAATGGGAACATATTTTCTCCCACTTCTTCTCTGTATCTTGGGAACCTCCATTTTATTTTCTCCAGGAATTTGAATTTGAATTGGTTTGAAGATGGACCAACACAAAGAACTGGACAAAATGCCATTATTTGATCTTCTTTAAATATGATAATACCAGGAGCATTTCTAGGGGGATGGTGGCAGAATAATGGCAAAAGCATGAGGCAGAGGAGTGGTCGAGTAAAACCCAAAACCATGTTGTGTCTAAGAACTGCATATCTGGGACACATATTTCTGAAAACCTGGTCTGGATTAGAATATTTTTATCTAGAGATTTCAACCAGCTCATCAGCAAATGTTTCAGCATTTGGTTATCTTATTTAAAATTCATCCATTACAATGCCTGATGCTCTTCTGGTCTCCCGTGAGCTGCCTGGGTTTCATTTTGCTCTTCATATCTTCTTTCTCTTTTGCTTCCAAATTATGAGGAATCGCCATTTAAAGCAAGGGCAAAACATCTCTAAAGAGCTGGGCTTAATTTTTTCTAAGGGGATGATTTGGAAGGTAAATATAAGATTATGAACATAATGCTGAATGGAGCCTCATGGGCAAACTGGGCTGTGAGCAGTGAGGCTTTGCAAGAAACTGGAGGAGAAAATACCTGAAGATATGTGGAGATAACTTGTTCATGGGAAGAAATGCACCCTGTAGGGCAGCAGACTTTAAAACTCTGCAAGTTACTGCAATCTCAGGGGAACACTGTCTGAAGAAAGAATAATTCCTGGCCATTGGGATGATACTGTCCCATATTGATGTGCCTGTCAGACAGATAACCAGCTTCAGAGTCATGCCAGGATCAACTCATATTCCCCATGGCATGACCGGGGGAATTTCAGGTCATTAAAATCTTTCCAAATCAATGAAACATTATAAGTGTGATGGCAGCCAAGAGATGGACACACAAATGGGTAAACAGAGCAGTTAGCTATCTTGGTAAACAATGGTTAGAGCACACCAAGTCTGTGTTGGCTGAAAATAATAATAAAAAACAAACAAACAAACAAACAGAAAAAAACAACAACAACCAAAAAAAAACCACCCAAAAACCCCCAACTGTTTTTATCTATCAAAAGTTAAATTTTGCCTGACAAGGGTATTTAAGGTTAGCACATCAGTGTCAGTCAGAGCACACAGCACAGTCTCAAAGATGCATTGTATTGGAAAGGGGAAAAAACTTGGAATAAACAATCTTATGGAACCTACATTTCTCTGTGCTTTTGAAAGTTCAGCTATCTCTGTGTGATGGATCATTCTAAGGCCCAGGAGGAATCGACTTCAGGTTGATAGCAGAGAGATATCCACAGAAATGAAATGTTCTACAGAAACATTTCATCCTCATTCAAAGAATGGGGTATGGGGAAAGTATAAACACAGAGCAAACTCTGGCTAAATCTGCCCTGACTAAAGCCTCCCTAATTCAAACTTTTATGGGTTAAGGGCTGAATGGCTGGAGCTGCCAGCATTGGCTTCAGCCCAATGCACGCTGCACTGAGCATTAATTTAGTAAGAAGAAGTTTGGGTGGGTTTAATTAAGCCCCTTGCCAAGATACAGTAATGTGTTGAAAGTGAGGAAAGTGCAATGATGTGGAGGAATCAAAGGAAGTAAAATATTCCTTTTTACAGCATGAATATCATCCTCCCATGGACTGACGTGTGACTGGAGCACTGTTCTGTGCAATGGAAATGGCAATTCTTGTTCCTTTTCCTTCCCACAGGCTTTTACCATCATGGATCAGAACAGGGATGGCTTTATTGACAAAGCAGATTTGAGAGACACATTTGCTGCACTAGGTAAACGAATAATTCAGTATTTAACAGATATGCTGTCTGAATTTCAAACATAGAAGAAAGGTTGTTATTAGGATGACAGTGGGGGAAGAAATGAGATACACAGGGGGCAAAGGGAAACCTGTTCTGCTTGACCTTCCTCCCTGTGGTGGTTGGGATCTCACTACAGAGCTCCAGCTGGAAAGTGTCCTGAGCAGGGAGTGGAATGAAGGTCTGATCCCTCCCCTGCAACTATTTCAGAAGAAGCCCACCCAAGCAGGGGTCCATGCCAGGCATTTCTGATTTGCCTCTGAATCCAGGCTTTTTCATCTGGGAGCCATGGAATATCCACTGATTAGCACTGCAGTCATGGACTAGCTGCCCCTCTGCCCACACAAACCCAGGAGGGCTTCATGTGAAGTTCTGTGCTGCTGGGAGTTTGTGTGGGGTGAAATGTGCATGTCATGAGATTAGGTATTGTCCATTCCATGGCTATCACAACCTTGATAATATCAAGCAGATCAGAGCAAATCTTCCCAAGGAAATAAAAAATTCAAGCGCTCGTGATCCCAAACCTGGAGTTGTATCCTTGTTGCAGCATTTGAGGCTTGAACAGTGATGTAGGCATTTGGGCTTTTGCCATCTGGAGCTTATTAAAAAGAGCTTGATAAGAATCTTTAGTGCTCCCCGGGGTGGAATCAGACGCCAGCAGAGTCAGTGCAAGGAGCAGAAGCTCCTGAACTCTTTATTGTGACAATGAGGTTTGCAAACTTTGGCCTGTAGCTACTGTTACCCTGAAATATTTATTTCTTAAGGCCAAGTTCTGCTATCTTTCCTGTTCAGTGAAGCTTTTCAATGCCTATAAAGTACATTCCCAGCAAATTACCACTCAATTTGAGGAGGGTTGCCAGGGTCTAAATTCTCATCAATAGGGCTGCACAAGGATGGGGAAGGGATCTCATCCATCTGCCCCCTACTCAGAGAGGTGTCTCAATATCCAGGAGGGCAAAGACTGAGACCTTGGATTCACTTCAGTCACTTTGATCTCTGCTATATTAATATCACTGGGGCCCATATTTCACCTGAGGTAAAAAAAAAAAAAAGCCCCAACTCAAAAAGCAGTTTATTTGGAAGTTCCCCTTCTCTCGTCCACTGCTGGCCATGTCTGTGTTATTTATCCTTCTTGCTCCTTCAGTCACCCTTTGATCTCAGAGCCAGCTCTGCCAATTTCTTTTTCACTGGGGTATTTGGGAGTTGTGTTCTACCATGTTATTAGCAAAGTTGCACAGAGCCCTGAGCTCCCCAGTGGGAGGAGATGAATGGGAATCGTTTTTTGAAACACAATTTGTGATTTATTATGAAAAATGATCTCTGCTGCAGGTCGTCTGAATGTCAAGAATGAAGAGCTTGAAGACATGGTGAAGGAGGCGCCAGGTCCTATTAACTTCACTGTCTTCCTTACTATGTTTGGGGAAAAGCTGAAAGGTAAGTACCTCTGGGGGATTGGAGAGGTATCTGTCAAAGATCCTCAGCACTGAAATATCTCAGCACCTTGCAAATTAGAAGAATGTCTCCACAGAACAATGCTTAGAGGCAAGGAGGGATCTCCAGTTTTGCAGACAAGGGGAAGAATGAAAGGCTGAGGGACGGTGCAGAGGACAATTTAAAGGTGAGATTTAGCTTACACAAGCTAACATGAAAGGGCTGAGTTGGGGTCCAGAAAGTGATGAAACCTCAGCAGCCTGGAGCACAGTGCAGGGGAGTTATTCACCATCAGAAGGCTCCTGGGCTGAACTCATGCTCATGCTCTAGTCATAGCACTCCCAGTGTTAGCTGCTTTTAAGTATTTCTTAAAAACCCACCCTTTTTGCACTCCTTTGTCACATGGGCTTCCCTCACTTTCTGTAGTCATTGTAACTCAGTGGCCCAGCCTCAGTGTCACTTGAGGTCAATAGTGATTCTGCCATTAGGTGAAGATTTCACTGAATAACCCTTAATGGAGTGGATAAACTGAAATAATTAAATTTCAGTGGACTTAAATGATATGGGAGAGGGATTTTACCCATTGCCACAGAATATATAGGGAACACTGTGGGAAGTTCAGGAAATGTGGGTATTAAATTTGCTGTGTGAGCTGGTAATTTAGTCATGTTTCTTCTCCAGTTAATGGCTGGAAACTGCAAGAGAGGGGGTGTGAGGCCAAGACAGAACTCCAATCATCTTCCTACAGGCATAAGAGAGAGGTGAAAGCCTTCAAAGCAAGGCTAGCCTTAGCCAAGCACATTCCAGAAGTTTGTAAAAATAACTAATGAATAGAAAAATGGAAAAATCTGATCCTATCTTCTTAAAAGCATTTATTGTTTGGTTGATGGACTCTGGCTTTGTATTGCTGAACACAATTCCAGTGAAGGGTTTTCTATGCTTGGAATAGAAAACAGAGAGGTCTGAAAGAAAGAATTCATGTAGTTGGTTCTGGAAGAAAGACACTCTTGCTAAAGAGGGCAGGAAGTCTGGGAAGCACGTGGGGTGATGGAGAAGGCTGGCTGAGGAGGGGATTTTATTGCCCAAACATCAACCTGTGTGTGGTGCCTCCACCAGGACATTCCAGGTGTCTTCTGGCAGAGTAGGGAGTGCCCTCCTCCATATTCTACCTCCTGGGATATGTGAATGTTTGTTATGGGGTGCCCTGCTGCCCATTCCATTTGTGAGCATGGAAATTAGCTCTTCCTCCTCTCCCCTCTTCCTCCTCTCCCCTCTTCCCCCTTGCCCCATGGAGTTGCTGGAGCTGGCAAAGCCTCTGGCCCTGCCAATCCTGTGGCCTAAAAGCAGAGCCAGCACAGGAAGGTGAATGGCAAAGCAGAATCCTCTTGTCTGCAGGTTTCCTGTTGGCTACTAGCAAAGGAGGAGGGTTTTTTTAATTTCCATTTGGTGAAGGGAAAATCACAGCTGTGCTTGTCATGCCCTTCTGGTTGGGTTTGTCATGCAAAGGAAGCAGAGCCAAAAGACTGCACATTCCCAATCAAAACTAATTGGGATGAAGAGCCTTTGTAGTGCAATTAGAAAGGGAGAAAGGGCTAGAGGAAGTGGATATGGCAATTTTGCAACACTCTTTATTAGCTAAGTACCACTCAGAGAATTTGGTGAAAGGTGCTTTCTAAGTAAAATTTGTTGTGCTATAATTGATTTCTGTCATAAAGGGGAAGCTGGGATTTTCAGGATGAGCTTTAGCTTTGTATGTTGAGATTATGATGCCAGATGAACAGCTAACAAAACTCGGTTTATGTTAATGCCAACCACATGGAGCTGCTTCTACAGGGAGTCAGAATAATACAATTTGTACAGAAAACAGAGATGCCGCACATCAAAGAAACCACTTTATTTACCAGCTAATCAATAAAGAATGCCTGCTGCATTGCTTCTCTTCAAAGCCAAAGTCCAAGGATATGACAGAGTAGAAAATGTAAAACACAGTAAGGAAAAAAATCCCCCCCACAGCGGTGACTACTTAAAATGCAGCCCTCTCCTCTGAGCTGGGGGATGTTTCTCTTCATGGGACAATCAAAACACTCATTAAACACCAATGCTCTTTGTATTGATCACAGATTCATTGCAGTTTGAATACATTGCCTACAGCTTGGCAAAAATAATGTACATGGCCATTGTGTGGCAAGGAGGAGGCCATATAGCCCGAGGTGTGTTCACTATTATATCCTGCAGGATCCTGCTAATCCTTGTGAAATCTTACAAACAAAGCAAACTGTGAAGGCATCAGGAGAGTCTGTAGAGCAGGGAACCTTGGCTGGGTTCTGTTCTGGTTCTACCTCTGCCAAACTTTGAAACAAACTTTGGATCTGCAACCCCTTTGTGCTGTATCCTTTTTAAATCACTCTTTCAGCATACCAAATAGCTTCATTTTGTCCATGGAATCAGTTCATCTGCTTGTAAATTTGGTTTCCTACAGTTACAAAGATTTGTACTGTGTATACTACGGTAATATTTTGAAATATTGGGGAATAGTCAGGAACAGAGTACACAGTGTATCCTTTGGTGTGGGCTGAAAATGAGTCTACTCAGAATCTGCAGTATTACAGAATAGACAGAAGCCCCAGCCAAGATTAAGGCACTGTGAAAACGAGTCCCTGACACAAATGTTTTCCAGTCTAAAGAGATGGGATAGATAATGGAAGGAAGAAAAGGAAGACCATTACAATCATTTTACTGCTGGGAACAGAGGAACAGGAATATTAAAGTCATACCAAAAATCTGTGGCCCAGCAAAGAGCAGAAGCAAAATCTTGTAGCCACAGTCTAATTCTTTAAACCATCCTGTTTCTGTAACACTTAATGAAGAGATACTTAAGGGGAAGGGCACAATGGGATTTAAGTCAGATCACCATTCCACATTGATCATCCTGTTTCCATTGCATTCCATTGGCATTTGGATTTTATGATGAGCTCCATTTCCCTTAGTGAGGGAAATAACCTCTTCTCTATATGGCCAAGAACAAGTAACATCAAAAAGTGTTTTTACAAGGAACGTACAGTGCAAGATTAAAGGAAGCCAGTGAGGGAAACAGTTTGCTATATTTTCATTTCTGAAAGCCACTAATCCTCTGGGTACTGATATTGGAGACCAGTTCCTGGAAGTTTTCTCTCCTGCAGACATAGAATAGATATGAGTTATTATTTTTAAGCTTCTGAGCATTGAACTATTCACCTCTATTGTTTATCTGACATGACAAATGCTGCCGACTTAGAGAACCTTTGTCTTCAAACCCACAACTGCAGAATTCTCCATTTTGCACTGTTTCCAAGCGAATGTAATTACTTAGCAAGTATTCTGCAGCCAGAGAAATACATCCAGCCTTCTAAATTATATTTCATTAATTTTAGGCACGGACCCAGAAGAAACCATTCTGAATGCTTTTAAGATTTTCGACCCAGAAGGAAAAGGCCGCATAAAGGCAGACTAGTAAGTTTATTTCAAATCCTTTAGAAGAATAACAACAATAATAATAATTGCAGAGTTTTAAAGAACTGCTTAAAAGCTGTATTTTTCACAGTATTTTAAGAGGCAGAGAAACATTTAGCTTTGTAAGCCAGAGCTAAAAGTCTGGACTGTTGTATGAATGCATTTGTATACCAAAAAGAGATGTTATTGTCTTCAGACATTGCAAGAGCCAACGGAAATATAATCACATGTAGGCCATTAGATAGCCTCTTTTTGAAGGTCTGGATATAAATCGACACATGACTCTTTGTAAATTAACTCCATATGTAAAATTAAAATGAATGTCTGGTGCCTAACTCTCAGTGCTTGACTAAAATGGGAAAGCTACTCCCCTCTTTAAAAAAGTGATCAATTTAATTAACTCTGAGACATGGTTTTAGTGCTGGACGTTTTCCTTTTTATGTGTTTATCATTTGAGCCTTCTGCTTCTAGAAATAATTTGCTGTAAAATTCCACTAGATACGGTGAGAGCCAAACCAAATAATACTATTAATAATCTGGCAATTATTGTCAATATGGCTATTTTTAAATAAGGAGGCAGAACTTAATTTGTATTCACATCCTGTTGCACCAACAAAGCAATGTAAAAGGACTTTAAGAGGTATTTGCACAAATGCAAACCCTTCTTGCACTGCCAAAATGGTGCAAGGACTTTCAGGTAGGTGAGATAAAGAATATCAAATCAGGGCAGGGGATAAGGAGATTAGACCTATTGCTCCAGAGAAGAGGTTTATGTACCTAGATTTATGCATATGTTTAAATTAGTTCATATGCTGAAGTTTCATGGTGAATTTGAGGTCTGTACTTCTACTGCAGCAGCCATTTCAGGTAGATTTTATAAAGCATGATATGTATAGGAAATCTATCCGGGAACCATGAGTTACAAAATTGTATTTACATCAATTATTGCTGCTTATGTTGTGATAGCCTCTGCCCAGAACCCCGTGGAGATTTCCATGACATTATCTGCAATAATTGATGAAAGTTAGTTGAAAATGTAAGATTCATGTACAGTATTTCTTTCCAAGGTGGTTTTCTATGGCAGCACCCCAGTGGGTCTGAGAACTTTTGCAATATGCAAAATAAGAGAGACAGTCCTTTGAGTAAGAACTTCCAAATTAATTAAAACACAAGTGGATGTAGCAATCAATCAGAAGGAACAGAGGGTTAAGAGCTGTCCTGATGGTTTTGAGGTTAACATCACCCAAGCAGCTTGGGAAGAACAGTCAGGGGATCACATCAGAAGTGACTCAAACAACAGAATTAATGTAGCCTTTTGCCACATAGGGCAGATCACACAGTAGTGAAATCACAGCCATGAAATACGAACTTCTGATACTCCAGAACCCATGAAATGTTATATTTCCCACCACTATCTGTAACAATATCCTGCATACAAAATCTGCAGCTTGCCACCCTGTGTCCAGATCTACATTCCTTGGATGCTGGAAACCAGTTGGAGTTTGGGGCAAATTAGGAATGCAGTATCACACTCCAAAATGAAGATGAGAGAGAAATATTTTATTTTTCCTTGATGGAAAAGGTCAACCTGGTCCCCACCCCCACTGCACTGCTAACATTAGACAATTGTTTTAGTTCATCACCACAACAGAGCATAATGTTTACTTATTAGACCCGAGGGTAATGTTGATCATTACAGAACAAACCATTAAATCAATTCTGTGGATGTCTTTGAGGTTTAACTTCTATTCATATGCTTCCAAAATGTAGACATTTGAAGTTTTGAAATAATTTTTCTGTTGGCTCATGCAGCCATTTCAATGCGACAGTTAATGCTAATAAATAATATTTCTCCGTATTAAAAAATCCTGGAATGTTTCTCTCAAAAACCAGTCATGCTGACCTTTTAATCAGAACTTCATTTTTATGTTCATGGAGTTAACATCCTTCTGGGGATTTTTATGTCTCTTCCCTCTGCGTGTTTTCACCTCTAGTCTGGAAATGACTCACTTAGTCCATGTGATGGTAGCTGGGATGGAGCCTTCTAACCTTTCCAGAAGCTCCAGGAGTTTATAACTTACTTCCAAATTCAATGACAGACTTTGTTTGTCTGCATCATTATACCACACATGAAACCCTTCCCACAGCATGATGTCAAAAAGAGAAAAAGCTCCCAGTCCCATTCTCAGCTGGTGTAAACTGGGGCAGAGTTTGGAAAGGTTGGATGATTCAGTCCCAAATGCCACTCATGGGGCAGAGTGAGTCAGGCCAACACCAACTGTGCCTGATGCTGAGGCCAATTAAATTTTTCAGATTTGGGCCAAATGAAAATGGACCCAGGGGGATGGAGGAGGTCCCAGGCATGCTGGACTCTGGAGGTGTTTGGCTGAGCTAGAGATGATTCTCCCCGTAGCTGTAGAGCTCTGCTCCTTCCCACTAACCTGGTTTCCTCCAAGACAGCACTGCAGGAAGGGCAAACCCAGAGGAAAACCAAAAATGTCCCAGAGATTTCACAGATAATTTTTAAAAAGGCTTTTAAAATATCAGAATGCAACAAGGTGTTTGTAATTGTAGAAAGAATTTATGTGAGCCAGGATAAGGGATAACATTTAGACTCCTAAGTCAAGGCAAATGGATTTTTTTTGTGTGTTGGGGAGTTTGGTTTGGTTTTTGGAGTATTTTTTAAGAAGACTATAAGATTTCTAAAGAAAACAAGATACAAAAAGAAAAAAACGTGCACAATTTCTGGCTTTGGAAATGGTGAGTGTTTGTTTCCCTATAAAATAAATAATGGAAAATGTGCATAGATCCTTCAGTCAGTCCCTCTTCCTTGTGAGTGTGCCAGAGCCTACTGGGCTGTGCATCAGAAGATTATAATTAGATATTTGATCTTTTCTTTTCCCCTAAATACTTTAAGCATGTGAATAGAAGACACACAGTGCCCAGATCTCTTTTTAATTCAGGCTTGTTTGTGATGAAGTTTATTTGTGACTTCTGACAAAACTGCTGTAAGTGCTTCCTTCTATTCACCAAGCTCCTTCCTGGACCACACTTCCCATTTGCATTTGCTAATACTGTTTGTCCAGGGCATATATATCCAATAATCAATTTATGCTGAGGGGAATGATCTCTCTACTCTTGCACCCGCTGATCATTTGAGAATTTGCCTTCAAAAATGCAGTCACATACCAAATGGCCAGAGGAACAGAACAGAAACAGAAACTTGAGACAAAGAGATGAAGAAACTTAGCTAACTACAGAGAATGGTGAAGTAATGCAGGAAAAATATACTAAATAGCTTAAGCTCTGTCTGTTCCCAAAGCCTGCACAGATATATTCACACTTGTCCTTCTTCATTGTTTTCAATTTTCCCTTTCTGGGCTTCCAAATGTGCATTTTATACCAACAAGAGCTGCAGAAGTGTATGTGCCCCTGCCACAAATGGGATGTGTAGCCTTTTCCTGGAAAAAAAATCACATTTGTCAGAGCTGTGAGTGCCATTGTAGCTTTGCCACCCAAACTGCACTTCTGTCTGAGGGACTTTTCTCATGTGCAGAAAGGGAGGATTTACTGTTTTGCCTGAAGATTTGCACCCACAGTAGGTGAATTTTGCTCCCCTGCAAGTGTTCCTGTTCAGGCATGATTTCTATTATAAGTAGTTTTAAATATTCCCTTTAAAAAGCAGAGAGGACTTCTTCTAGAAGAGCTGTCGCTCTCACTCTCACTCCATAACAAATTCTTGAAAAAAGCAGCTTCTTTTTTCAAATCCACAAACCAAATCAGATTTCTATACTTGCCTCAGCTTTTGTTTTTGTACAACAGATTGCTCACCTGTTATCACAGCTTTACAGTTTGTTTTACTGCTCCAGAGCTGTGTCTGATAATGTATAAATACATTTGGTTGTGACAAAAGGAGACAACTCTGCCTCTTCAGCGTGAATGAAAACTGTGAGATTAATATAGGAATTCTTCTACAGGAAGAGGAAATTATTGGTGTTATTGAAGGGATGTTTATGTGAATATAAGTGAGTTTATACTGGTAGATGTCCCAGCACGTGGTGTATGTGCTGCCCTCAGTACATGAGTAACTGGGGGAGGTATAAAGACATTTTATGTAGAGGGGATAGACTAGAAACAAAAATAATTCTTCCTGGCTTTTCTATTCACCTCTAAACTTAGGTAAAAAAAAAATAAAATTACATGCTCAACTGCCTTCCCACAATGGGTTTAAAACAGAGGGTAAATCAGCTGAGAGTCTGCCCCCAAAATATCCTTTTTGATGTAATTGCACGGGATGCAGATTGTGTGTGGGATAAGCTCCGTGTTACAGTGCTGTGACTCCAGATCAAGACAGTGCACCGTGAAATACAACAGGGCTCATGCAGCTCCACAGCTCCCCTGGGAATGGCTGCATGCAAATAAAGCATTCTCGGGTGATGACTCGCAGTAGCAGCTCGAGTTCTCTTTCAAGTCCTCTTTCTCATTTCATGCTCTGTTCCTTTCATCCTCAGATTTTACAGAAAATATTCTCTCTTTTGGTTTTGTTAAGTGATCCAAACTTTAAGCAGCAAGTGAGGAAACCTACCATTTTAGGTTAAGATAAGCATACGAAATTGCTGTATTTCAATTACAGTAATAACCTTAAACAATTTTAAACCTCTATAAAGTGTCACAAAAGAGAAATAAGTTGGCAGAGCGAGGCATTGACACTGATGGGTGCCCACAGAAAATCTCTTACAATATCATGTAAGGATTAACAGCTCTAATTTATGCGGTCACACAGATTTTCTTTCATGCAACTTCAGGAGGGATCTTGCCATCTGAATTGTCATGTGCCATTATCACCCTTTAATCAGGTTATTTCGTTTTATTTGAACAGCATCAAAGAAATGCTCATGACACAGGCAGACCGGTTCAGTCAAGAAGAGGTAAGGAACTTTATTCAAAACAGGAATCCAGCTCCTGTTCCTGTAAGTCCTTGCCCCTCTTTAAATGCATGAATTTAGCTGAAATCCAGACTGAGAGGAGGCTGATGCCAGCTCTGGCAATTAGCAACAATTCAAAGCATCTCTTCTGAAGAGCTCCATGGCTAAATCAAAGTCAAATAGATTCTCTGGACTCCCATCCAAGTGCAAGCGTGGCCTATCTCGTGCTGTTCTTCCCCATGGGCAGCTGGGCAATTGATTTACTGGAGTCCAAGTGGATTTGGGTGGGGACTGTTTCTGGTTTCCATTTCTGTGATTTACTTGGTTTGAAATCTGAAATTAGGTACTTACTTGGTGGTTTGTGTGAGACTGAGCATGGATTCTGCTGGTTGGGAGGAATTTAGGGGGACTTTATTTTCAGAAGAGGAGATGGAGTGGAGCTGGACTGTGAACAGAACAGACTGGACAGTTCCAGTCAGAACAGAGACTGGACATTTATCAACCAAGGCTTACCTGGGCTTCAGGGAGAGCTCTTTTCAACAGGGAACTTGTGGGATTCTAGCAGGACTTTATTAACCACTCATGTTCCAACTCTGGTTTCAATTTTACCAAGCCCAAGGAAAACTTCTCCAGGTGCTTAAAGGACCAGGGCAGCAGGGAGCTGAGCTGGCTCTAAAATGAAAAGGTGCCCATGTTGCTGTCCCAGTCTGTGACACTTCTCTCTGTTTGCTTGGCAGATCAACCAGATGTTTGCTGCTTTCCCTCCAGATGTCTCTGGGAACCTCGACTATAAGAATCTCTGCTATGTTATCACCCATGGTGAGGAGAAAGACTGAGCAAAGAGAGGAGCTTCTCCTGTGCTGATGCACCCAGTTATTTCATGATACACAAGACAAAGGGCTAAGCATCCACGATGTGAAGCCATGTGGTCATTGGAAGACAACCAATAAAATAATTTAAAATAGATTAAAGTTATTTAATGCTCCTGTTTTTATGAAATATCAAAATACCAATTTTGTGAGGGTTTTTCCCCCATCTTTTTTTTAAATTTTTTTTTCTGTCAGTGGTTTGAAATGGAATTTTCTTGATGAGCTGGTGCTTTTGTGATTTATTGACAAACCTAATGTTCACCAGATGGTCCATTGGGCACTGCAGTCTTGCTTAACCTCTTGTCTTTTATATGTAAGCTCCATGTATTAATTGAGAATTCCCCTAGCTTATTGCACCAGGAAGAGTGTCTGGCAAATAGATTTATGTTCCATTCCACAGCCCCTAGCAATGGAAGTGTAAATAAAACAATCTTAAGTTCTTGTGAATATGCAATATGCCCTCCCCATCTCAGTGATGTGGCCAGTTTCTGAAACCACTTGACTCATTTGCTTTGGTGCAAAAGAGCAGAAATAGTGGAATATTGGCTGTTTTTCTCATAGTAAAGTTCACCTAGGTGCACTGAGAATTCAGGAATAATTAATTTCCTCCTTCAGAGACATCTTTATTACGTGGAGGAGGTTGTCCATGACACAACAGTAACACCTGGTCTGTCATCTTTGGCCATCACCTCTGGGTTTCAGGTGAGACACACACACCAGGGACATGTTTGGCCAAAGATCATCGAGTCTAGGGACAAAGAGAACAATTTGGGAACTGCAGCCTATGAAAGCAGATTACCTCTCATTTTTCTAATCCAAGAGCAGCCTGGTTTTTAAATGGGCTACAGTTTCTTGTATTTAGACTTCTAGGAACGGGACATATTCTGCCTATGTGGAATATTGCATGAACACTTCCTGCGTGGGAGGCAGAAGGATGCTGCAGCCAAAGGAAAACAAGCTTCTGCTGTTTTAACAGCTCATGAAAATGCTTTCCTTGTGCATCAGTGCTGCTGGAGCCACAGTCCCACAGACACTGAGAGGAAGAAACAAGCCACTTATTTTCTGTTTCCATCTTCTTAGGCCTTGTAGGAAGAGAACTTGAGGGCAATGTGCTGAATTCTGCCCTCATCAAGAGGGGCAGAAATTCCATGAGAAAGCTCTAACATCTGCATGGCTGAGGGGTGTGACATTCACCCCTACCTGCATGTTCTGTTGTTCCAGCAAAATCCTGCACTCTGCACTTCAGTAATAGAGAACAACTGGAGTGAGAAGGCTCTTAGCACACAGAGGATTAATAAAATAAACCTCCCTTTGCCCCTGTGTGCAGGAGTTGTGTGAACATTCCTGCACCAGCACTGTTTTTCCAGTACAACAAGTTGGTTCCCAATTGTATCCAGTAGGAATTATCTCTTTTAAATATATCAGTGGACACAGCTGAGGCAAAATTCGCTCCTTTCCTGCAGGAATCTTGCTGAAGATGTGGACAAGGCTTTAGCACTTCTTGCCACCTGTTCTGTCACCCAGAGCTGTCCCTCCCAACACAATGAGCAGCCTCACTGGGCTTTGGTGACTCAGAAATCTTCTTGAAATGCAAGAGCCCACACGACCTGTCCTTCCACCTCCTGAGCTTTCCTGGACAAGCCCAGCTTTAACCACTGTTTTTTCTCCCCAGAATGTTTTTTCTCACAGTCTGTAACCACTGTCCATGGGATGGGGTTGTAGATTGGCAGTAGGAGTGCATGGAGATTGAGGATTTTCTGTTGGCACAAGCAAAAAGGTGATTTATGTATGGGCTTCTGCTTTAGGCTCTTCTGTAGATCCAAGCAAGTGACAGCTCCTCTCAGCAAAGAACTGAGCTGCTCATGGGGACACATGTTTCATTTGCAGATCTAATATGGAAATTTTTTGGCAGGTGGGTCTGTAAAATGCTCTTTTGTGGCACAAACTCATGTACAAAGTGTCATGCTACCTTGCATAAGCCCCACAAAATCACATTCCCCACCAAGTGAGTACTGAGCTGAAGTCACTCAGGCATCAGATGTCAGACAGTGCTTATGGTTTTTACAGTGTGTGAAGATTTCAGAATGAGGCTGAAGACGAGATGAAACAGCACTCAGGCTTACCTTTGGCCTTCAATCTAGAGAGATTTACTTTTCTTCATGCAAGCTGGTAGGCAAAAACTTGGAGGATAATGCTCTTGAAAGATGAGGTCACACTTTTCCATCAAAGCACAGTTTTTGATGAGTCCTTCTTCATCTGTAACTGCTGCATGACTTCTTCCAGTGCAGCTCCTGTGACTTCTCAGGCTGATGGGAGTCTGGTCTGAGCAGTTCCACATTCTCCCCTTCCCCTGGTTGCACCCCCCCACTCCCTCCCTCCAGGTCAGCACCAGGGCTCAAACACACACAGCAGGTGCTGACTGAGAAGAAACCTCTTTGCTCCCTAAATTTCCTTTCTGGACTCTGGGAGCTGACATCCCTCCCTCTTTAGTTCTGCCTTCTTTAGATCTTGCTGAGGTCACTTTACCTTGCCCTGCTGCAGGCTCCCTCACACCTGCAGATGGGGCAGGAGCAGGGAGCTGTGGGGAGGATGGAAAGCAGGACCACCTGAGCATGGATTAGGTTAAGCCAGGCTTTACCATAAGGAGAGGTTTAGTTTGGATTGCAATTTTGAAGCAAATCACTTGATTGCTCTTACTTACCTTGAGCAACCTGGGTAACATTTTTGGAGGAAGCTAAACCAGAAGCTCTGCTTGGAATTCAGTCCAAATTCCCTTTGGTTCCTGGTGGGACCAAACCAGGGTGCAGCTGTGATGCCCTGCAGCACCAAACAGTGAAGCACCACCAGGGTGCTCCCAACCACCAGAGCTCTGCAGACCCTCTGAAGTGGTTTGTGGCTGTGCAAAGCCCCGGGTTCCATCTGACCCTGTGTGCCTTCAGGCTTTTTGCAGTTCTGCTCCTTCCTTGTTGCTGCACTTTTATCTTGGTTCAAAACCCATTTCTTACTTTTTTTTTTTTTTGTCTGTTACCCCAGAATTATGGCACTTCAAGGGCAGTGCAGTTGAGGAGCCTGTTGCAGAATGCTTGAGGAGATCTTTGGATTGGGCTATGCCACCAATTTGGTTGTACCTTGGACCCTTGGACCATCATGCAAGACAATTTGGGGTTTTCATGCTCCCCCTTCTATAAAGGGGAAGGACAAATGTTCATATAAGCATCATGAAAATATTCAAGATTCAAAAAAAGCCTGTATCAACCCCAATTTCATTTCAATCTCCACTTTCATTGGGGGACATAGGGCTGTGCTCATGGGGTTTGGATGCAGATTCAAATAACCAAAGGGAACAAAGAGCTCCGATTAATTCCACAAAACAGATTTTCACCAAGCATCATTAAAATGATCAGATGGGAAATGAACTTGCATGAACCCTGGCAGTTGCTCTTCAGTGTCAGCCCTTTCACAAACAATCACTATTTGGATGGGAAAAAACAAAGAAGCAGGGTGGAATTGATAATGTATTTTATTAACTCTTGCAAGTTTGATCCCATAAACCTTCCTGAAACCTTGTGAAAGGGGAGAGCAGAAAGAGTCTATTTGAAATAGACTGCGGGGAAAGGTTCTCATGAGTTCCCCCAGTTTGTTGTTCTGCTTAGAGGCAGGATTGTTGTTGCAAACGTTTGTCTGACCTGTCTAAACTTTGTAGGTAGCCTCAAGTCCAAAGCTAGCCTTAGATTTATGCATTTTTCCCCCCTAACCTAAATCTTTCTGTCTGCAAATTAAGCCAATTTCATCCTTTGCATCCTCTCTGTAATGACGTTAGCACAGTGGAAGCCTGTTTAGTTTTCTTTTTTCAATATTCTTTTTCCAACTTTTCTTCCCAGTAATCTTTTCTCCACTCCTAATTTTTCTTGCTCTCTTTAGGATTACCTTAAATTTGGGCATATTTTGTTTTTAAACATTGTATGCCAACTTGGACACAAAATTCCAGCACCAGCAAGATTGAAATAATTATTTCAGAGGTTGATTGTTTGTAAAAAGCCAAAGAAACCAATCCCCCCCTCTGTGATTCAGCAGCACTGAAGGTTATGAATGTTTCTAGGCAATGTGGGTAGAAGTTTATTCCAGACCTCTCTTCCTTAATAACTGCTTGTTTCTGATCCCCTTGTAGCTTCTTCTCTCTATCCCAGAAAGTTCCTCAGATCTGATTCCCTCTGCCTCTGTTACTTTGGTAATGTGCCAGCAGGGGTTATCTGAGGATATACCTTGAATTTTCACGAATGTTAACGAGGTGTAGATTGTCTGGAGCCTCCTTTTTCTATTTGAAAACAATGCCAAGAGCATTTAACATTTTCATCAATGATCTGGGTGGTGGTACTGAGTACAACAAATCCAAGTTCTTCCCAGCAGTGTCCGTGTACAGGATGAGAGGCAATGGACATGCTGGAATAAGGAAAGCCCCTTTAAACTCTTGGACTGTGAACGTGATCAGCTATCAGAACAGCTTGGCAAGATGGGTTGTGGAGCTCCCAAACATTGCTGGAGATATCCCAAACCCAGCTGGATTTGGCCCTGGGAATCGTGGTGCTGCTCTGAGCAGGAGGTTTGGTCTGGACAATCCCCTGTGGTGCCCTCCCACTGCAAACCCCTGAGATGCTGATGTTACACGTGTCAGCACAGTCAGCACAGCCCAGGGGACACTGCCCTTGCTCTGGGGTGACACCTGATCTATCTGTGCTGCACTTTGAACCCCAGATCCCCCCATAGCAGCTACACCCTGACTAATTACTGACCATTACTCCTTGAATTTTACTTTCTTCTAACATGTAACAACCTGCACTGATCTTTAATTCCTTCTCATTAGCTTTCTATCTCCTTTAATTTAAAGCTGTTCTGAATTCTATCCCAATCCTCCAAACTCCACATAAGCTGCATTAGCTTATAGCCCATCATCCAAAAATTTTGAATGTTCTCTGTTTCAGCCTGCTAAATGTTAATATTGAAGAGTATCTGATCCTGGGACAGTCTCATCCTCCTCCTTTTCCTTGTCCCTTGTCATCTTGAAATGATTTTATCAATGATAATTCATGTTGGACATGTTTTAACTGTACTCAGGGGTACTGGTCTTTAACCTGCCTGCAGCTACAGAGAAAGTTCTGCATCTTTGGGCCTCACCTCATTTCCTCCTCAGTCTGTTTGAATTCAGCTGGTCACCAGCAGGATGTCCATGAGCCACATCTCTCTGAGCCAACCTGTGACAATGCCCAAGGAGAGGGGACTTCCCACTGTGAATGGGCAAAAAATAGCTTCAGTGCAGCTGGGTTAAATGCAAGAGTAAATCCACTTGGATTCCTGGAGGGGAGCCTATGGCTTGTATCAGAAAATCTCCAAATCCCAGGGATTGTGAACCCAGGACAGGAGCTCCCAGCTGATGAAGGAATACTCCTGGGATGCTGGTGCTGTGCAGAGCTGTCTGTCCAGCTGCAGCACCTGAGGGCTCTTCCCTGCTATGGAGCCCCCTTCCAAACTCAGGCGTTTTGGAGCCATACGAAGGAGCCAGAATCTGGGTCCTTGAAGCAAATGTGGGCACAGTATTTGAAACAACGGTTTCCTGACGTACAGATCTGGGAAGTTTTATCAGGGTTATGGAACTTGGGGGATTCTCACGGGTATTTAGTTCACTTTGGCCACTTGGATGTAGTAGATATTCAAGGGGGTTCCTCTCTGTAGGACTTCTCAGAGGCTGAAGGGAGAGAGGTCCTTGAACAGGGATTTTGTGGCACTTAAACTCCTCTCTCCTCTGATTCAGCCCCTGCAAGCATCTGTCCAACCACACTGGTTGTAAAGCAGGAGCCCAGGAATGCTAACTCAGGTATTTAGGGTCAAGCATGGCAATACCTCCTTGAGTCCTTATCTGGTGAACTGTTGCCATTTGTTACTGTACCTTTCAGTTTAAATAATTGCTTAATGTGCCTGCTGACCTGAGAAACATAATTTTTTTTGCAAAATATACGAGCAAGCTTGTGTTTGGTCAGCTGCTTCAGCAGGAATACAGAGCTCAGATGCCAGGCCAGGCAGGAATTTTTTTTTAATAATGATTAAAAGACAGCAGCTGCCCTTTCCTAGGGTAAGAGGACTTATGTAAAAGTGAGGGGAGATCCAAACAGCCTTGTCCCTTTAAGGTTTGGAAGCTGCAGGTACCACCACAGATGTGATGAGCAGAAAGTTCATGACCAGAGAGTAGGGTGGGATGGGGAGAGGCTTCCTCTAACAGGCGAGAAAGAGATAAATCTCCATGAACTTCCTAGTAAGCCAGTGCCTTTAAGATATCAATGTAAAAAGGATGCAGATTAAATTGCAGCCAGAAAGGGTTTTTTTTATTTTATTATTGTAGAACAGGCATTAGCCAGTTTCAGCAAGGATCATGCCCCTCCCCAACCAGGCTGAGTGCAAAGGCTGTGACAGAACTTAATGCTTGGAAAAATAATACTGGTGTGAACCAAGTGCTGAAGCAGTACAAGTATCCGTATTTTGTCTGGAATTGCAAAAAGCCTTGTGGAAATACCAGTGATTTATTTTTAAATTGGTGTTACAGTTCACCCAGCTTTGTACAAACAGGTAATGCTGAAATACAGTGTGTTACTGCCCTGGAAAAGGTGGAAAAATCCAGTTTTGTTCCAAGGTGAAACACGTATGTGGCGGTGTGGGCAGACCCCTGAGGGTGTCACAGCCTGGCTGCTGGCAGTCACCCCCAGTGTCCTCTCTGCTGTGGCACCAAATGCCACCAGGTTTTACCTTCCCACACTGAACTACAGCCACCAGCTGAAGGCTCTGGCCAGGGCTCCTCTCCCTGAGGTGAAAGTGAGCTTTTCCACCTGCATTTTTACATTAAACTGCAGCCTCATGAGTCCATGTGAAATATTTTCAGGTCTGCCAAATTCAAAATCCCGATTTGTTAAGTACTGTAATGCCTTCGAGCTGCTGCTGAAGACAACTGGCAAGTATTTAATGCAACGTGTTTGAAACCTCTTTCTTAGCTCCAGTGTTTCTGTACCTTGGGAGAAAAAACACGGGGAGGCTCCAGGAGCTGTCCCACAGCTGGAGCTCCTCCAGCCCCACAGGTTAATTAACAGGGGGCTGTTAATGGCAAGGGGCTGCCCTGCCCCAAGGGAGCTGCCAGGGAGGATGAGGAGGGCTCATTCCAGGGCTGCTCCATGTCCTGCCCTGGCCCTGCTGCACAGCCCAGGTGGAGCTAAGGCCTTGGCATGCCAAGGTAAGCCGGTGTTTTTTTTCCAAGGAGGATTTTAATTAGGGGGTTGGAGGCCTTGGAACAGCCCTGGGATTGTGCCTGGGGAATGGGTTCTTTGGGGAGGAGGGATGGGAAGGTTGTGGGGGTTTTGTTGTTTTGTCTTCCCTTGGCTGTGAGTGACTTTCAGTGCCCTGTTTAGTCAGCTGTGGCTGATTATATAAAGTAACCCCCTGGCTTTTCATATAACACAGAAAGCTTATCACCTTTTCCAGCCACTACAACACTCATTAAAGTCCCTGGAAAAACAACCACCTGCTTTTACTGCTGGAGATCTGCTGTGTTTTGTGCCTGCTGGGATGGGTGAAGCCCTGCGGTGCTGGGCAGTGTGTCCTCACTGCAGGGCCTCTCCACGCTGCCTGGCTGAAGGAGAAAAAAAAATATCCTTATTTTTATTCCAGATGGATCCCTCTAGTTATGTTTAAATCTCCAGGTAAAACCAGTGCAAAAAATGGAGCTGAGCTCCTCAAAGGCCTGCTGTCATTGGTTTTCCGTGTCAGGACTGGGAGGAAAAGAAGAGGCCTGGGCCAGTTTAACTGCTGTGGGTATTGGTGGCATTCTGGGGAAGGGCTTGATGTGAGGAACAGGATTTTTGGTGCTTTTGTTACATTCAGTGTAGTGAGGGATAGACCAGAGGCCACTTCAGACCTGTGAACTACTTCCTTGAAGAGGTCACCCCTCCTCTCATGACCACTGTGTCGGTGGCTAAATTCACCAAATAACTCAAGTACATTGAATGCGTCCAGTCACTCAAAACTCCTATGGTATCACTCAGTGCTCCTTGCAAGTACCAAGGCATATTTCTTGAACTTTAGGTTAAAAATAAAGCCCCAGCACTGTGTGGGGGCATGGGGGGCTCTGAGGAAGTGCCCCTCAGCCTTCCCTGTGACCTCCCACCAGCCCTGCTGGCTCCCTGTGGGCAGAAAGGGGCAGGAATGGATTTGGGAACAGCTGATGGAGAAGAGGCTGAGGCACAGCTTCAGCTGCTCTCACCAAGACAAGAGCAGATGTTCCCAATAAAACATTGGCTCCTCAGATGTGGGTGCCAGGCTGATAGCAAACAGCAGGAGGGCCCTGTGCTATTAGACCACAATGAAGGCTGGGGTGGATTCTCTTGTGTCTCATAAACACTTGAGTTTGGTGGAGCCCTCGAGTGCATCTTTGTCCTTTACCCAGCTGCCTGCACTCTGAAACCCACAGGAACTTCATATCTTTGAAACCTCTCCCACTCTGTCAGGCTTGGCTGAAGTTTACATGTGGTTATTAGAGCAGAGGACAGGCAAGTGCATGTTTTATTGTTCTCCATCCCCCCCAGTGTGCTTTTTCATGTGTGTGCATATATCCTGCCGCTCCCAAATCAATTTGCTGTTGAATCCTTGCTTTAGTGTAATTTAACTGGCAGGGTTGGGAACTTGGAGGTTTTCTTTTCTTTTTCTTCTGAATTGTTTCCTTCTACTGTTTTACGAATATTCTGTTGCTCAATAACGGGAGGTGGAAAATGAAATCCCAAGATCATCTTTTAAAGGATGTTAATGACCATGAATGCAACCAATATAGTTAATAAGAGTCCAGGCAGAGATGGAAGACCATTCCCTTCTTTTGAGTAAGGGCCAACAGAGCTTTCTGATTATCCCTACTAGAAAGGGATCTGGATATTAAAGGATAAGTCATGCTAAGTATTTCCTTCTTAGACGTCTTATTCATTTATGCCTACTGGGTTTTGTCATCTTTAAAGGTGTTGTTTAGCCTGGTTTGAATTACTTTAAACCAAAAAGTTTTAAGAGACAGCTCTTGAATCCATGGAGATGTTTGCTAAATCCCTTTATTAAATGGATGGTGTTTTTCATCTTTAAGCAACATTTGGAAACAAAAGTAAGAATTATTCTTAATTTGAAGTGTGAAAGGGAAGGATGAAGACTTCAGATTTCAGAAAGCTCTTGTTGGAAGGGGTAGCATGTGTTTTATTTTCTTGTGCTTCTCTGAGTTAAACATTGGGAGGCTCAACAGTGACGTACCATGTCATGGATCCCAGCATGGAATTCTTAGCGGGGGGGGAAATAGTTTTCTTTCCATAAAGCAAAATCCAGTAGAAACCCCCCATATTTTACCCCTGGAGCAATGAGGAGATAAGGAAGTATTGGGCAGGGGAGAAACAAAGCCCTTTGGCTAAAGAGGCTGCTGCCTCCAGGTTTGTCTCAGCTCCACCTCTTTTCTTTGTCCCTGTATTCCTCAGTCTCCTCCTCCAGCCTAGCTGCCTCTTAACCTCATTAATACTTTGCTTTGATGGTCTTAAGTTCTTGACAATTTATTCCAGATGTTTGCTACTTTGAGTGAAATAGATTTCCCAAATTTCCTGTTTACTCTTAATGTCTTTTGTCTTTTTCTTCTTTGAAAGTGTGACATTTTTTTTAACCTCTTAGCAATCCAGACATGTTAGTTCACTGTTCCACCCCCTCTTCCTCCTGGCATCTCCTAAAGTTTGTGGTGCTTTCCACAGAATGCACGCTCCTTTTCTGTTGTCTTCTTGTGGGGCAATCTTGATCTTTTTCACCTTCCTTAATTTTGCACAGATGAAAGTCTGACTCAAAAGTTTCTTAGGTGTGTTCAGTGTTGCTTTTTTTCCCTCCTATGTGTGCACATCCAGAGGAGAGCAAGAAACTTATGGAGACAGAAAATAAAAAATTCCTACTTTTTGACAGGCTCCAGACCGAATGTCCTTCAAACATAGGTCTTACTTGGTCCTTCAGGTGCTTTCCATGAATTTTCTGGAGAGCTTTGAGTAGACAGAGTGGGCTGGCACTGCTCCTTGAGCTGCTCAAGGTGTAGAAGTTGTGGTTGCTGTTAACAGGGCTGGCACAATTCCCTGCACCAGGAGTGCAGTTGGAGCAGCACAAGTGACCTGGGAATGGCTGTGCTGTTGGAAGTTCCCATTATAGCAATAAAAATGTGTCCATTTTAAAGTGGTTGTATGGCTTTAATTATTCTGTTGTTTTCTTTAAAAATAAAACCAAAAACGAAACAAATCTTTAATTGAACCAGGTTTTCAAGTACAAAAGCTGTGCCCAGACCAGGCCTTAGGCCTCAGTCTTGCAGACACTTTCACAGGTGCTTAACTTTACCATTATGAGTAATCCTATTGATTTTCAACAGCACTGCTCAGGCAATAAAGAGTGGATTTGTATGATCTGGGGCTTACCATGGGGTATATCAGAAGTCACTTTTCTGAAATTAATGATTACAGGGGTGTAAGAGGAGTGTCCAGCCCAGGATTTAGTTGAAATTAATAAGACTTTTGCTCGTAGGCTTCCTTTGAAGAATTTAGCTGTCCTGTCTGCTCCTTTGAGTGCTGTATCTTGAAGGCCAGACATTTTTTTTTTTTACTTTTGTTATGATAACCTTCAGAATAAATATTCAGGTAGGACTTGGTGTACTGTGACTTTCTATCTCTTGGCTGCTTGTAACGTTCCATGGAGGCTCTTCCAAGTGTCAGTGCCTTCACAATGTCATTTTTGTGGTGTCTGACACTGGTTGAGCTCACTCTGCACATTTCCAGCCTCTGGATCTCTCTTTTCCATCCAGTTGCCTGTTCTAAAGAAACTTGTGGCAACGTGACAGCTCTGAAACTCCTGTCTTGCTCTCAAATTGGGCTGAAAGCAACCAGCTCATTCCAAAGTTATTAGAGATGCATGCTCATGCACACCATGATCATATATATGCAGTATTTTTGAAGGAAGTCAGGCAGAAAAAAATAAAAAGTGATTTGATTAGGAATAGATGCATTATAACATTTCATGAGCTTGAAAAAAATTACTTTTCTGTATGGCTGGTCTTACAAATATGCTTTACCCCAACTTATCTCTTACCCGTCTTAAAAAAAACCAACCAGACATAAGGCTACTATTTATGCAAAATATTAGGGAAAGGTTGTTCCCCAGAGGGTGCTGGCACTGCCCAGGCTCCCCAGGGATGGGCACAGCCCTGAGGATGCCAGAGCTCCAGGAGAGTTTGGAAAATGCTCTCAGGAATGCCCAGGGTGGGATTGTTGGGGTGTCTGTGCAGGGCCAGGGGCTGGACTGGATGATCCCTGTAGGTCCCTTCCAGACCAGGACATTCAATGTTTCTATGAGATAGAGATGGACAAGCCTTTTTGGAAGCCACAGAAAGAAAATTCCCCTTTTCTGTATTTCAACAATTTAAGTGTAGGCTTGGCACCAGGGCTGAGAGGGCTGTGCCAGTTGCCAACACAGTAGGTGAGTCATTTCTGCTCAGGTGTTTGCTGGAGAAGGAAATCTTAGAGAAATACTTGTGGGGAAATGGCCCTGTTGTGTTAAAGCACAAGGAATCTGACATCCCAGCCAGCTTTGTCCCAGCTGCCTGTGCAGCAAATCACCAAAAGGAACAGGGATTTGACTCCATCTAGCCTGTCTTCCCCTTTAAAGGGACAATTTTAATTTAAGGAGTTTCAAAATAGGAAAAGAAAAACAACAAAACCCCCTCCTAGGTACTGAGATCAGGAAGAGAACATCCAGCTTCAGCTGGAGCATGCAGGGAAGGAATGTTCAGTGTCAGAGGGTTTGTTCTGAATGGCTGCAGTGCCTTGTGCTGCACAGCACTGGGTGTTGCAATTCCAGCTTCCAAACTGCTGTTCATGCTGCAGTTGTGCAGGGAATGCCACAGCTTTGACTGGCAAGAACCTCACCTGCAAATTTTGCAGAAATTGTGGTGAATTTCCACTGGACTCAGCAGGAGCAGGTGAGCACAGGCTCGGTTGGATGCTGCCCTTTGGCACTGTGGGGTGCACTGGGGAACCAGGTGAAGATTAAGCATCCCAAATTCTGTCACTGACTTAATAAACTCTTGAACAAGTTGCTTTTGCACTTGCCCATCTGATTGTCTTTGGAATAATTGTGGCACTTAGAATTCCTGGCACTGTGCAAGTGGGTGCTTTGCAGGAGCCTTCAAGACCCCCAGGAACTGCCAGGTAGATGTTGATAACTTGCATACCCATTATTTTCCTGGCCTGTGACTGACTTAATAAACTCTTGAACAAGTTGCTTTTGCACTTGCCCATCTGATTGTCTTTAGAATAATTGTGGCACTTTGCTGGGATTCCTGGCACTGTGCAAGTGGATGCTTTGCAGGAGCCTTCAAGACACCCAGGAACTGCAAGGTAGATGTTGATAACTTGCATATCCATTATTTTCCTGGCCTGTGTGGAATTTCCTTATCCAAATCCAATCTGTATTTAAGTTCACAGGACAAATGTCAAAAATTCAAGCTCTGAAAATGCTGCTTTTTCCTGATGTTCAACAGCATTTGCTGCTGGTGTTGTTCTGCCTCTGTTTTGGGGAGATCTGTGGGGCTTTGGAAAGGGATAAAGGTTACAGTTGGTTTTTCTCCCTCCTGTAGCTTGTAAGACCAGACTCATGGGTGCTACCAAGAATCTTGTACCTTCCCCATGGAGAAGGATGGAATTTTAGGTCTTGGACAGCCCCAGGGGCTGCTGCCATTGCTTTACTCCTAAGTATTGTTCTTGGGGCACTGCCACTGCTACAGCCAGGATCTGAGGCTCCAGCTCAGCCCCTGCTGGCTCAGATGCCTTTTTCTGCAGCTCTCTGGTCACACAGTTGTTCACTGCAAAGCTGGGGCATGGAAGATTGGGCACTACTTGTCTTAATTTCTTTTCTTTTCTTCACTGGCTGTTCACCATTCTGGAGATGAATATAAAGGGAGACACACTGGGCAGAAATAATGTTTATTTTGGGAATCATCCACGAGGTATTCTTTCAGGCATAGCCTTTGGTTAGATTAGGACTGGATAGTGTGTCCATGTGAGGCCAAACCAATGAATTTGGGTTTGAAGACGCCAAGATCCCGTGAGAAGATCTGGTGAAACTGGAGGTTGGGGTAGAAAAGTGTCTTTATTGGGTTGTTGGAGCTATGCAGCTGTTCTAGGATTTTGCTGTTAGCCTAAAAAATAATTAATTCCTTTTCCCATCTCCAAGGTGCCCCCTAGGACCTGCCTGCAAGGAGCAGGATCAGCCAACATTCTCCATGCTGGACCTTCCTCCGTCCTGTGTCATTTGGCCCAACAACAGATTCTGGTGGAATCTCCACTGCTGGTTACAAAATACTCACAATGGGCATTGAAACACACTGAGTTTGCTATTATGTCTCTTCATAACTTTTATGTCTAGAAACCCCAGCTGTGATCAGGGCCTTGTTGTGTGAGATGTTATGCAAATACATATTTTGTACAAACAGGATGATGAAATCACATGGAAAACTTCATAATCAAAGCAGAAAAAGAGCAACAGGGGCAAGAAAAAGACCACATGGAGTTGCTTCTTCAGAGTCATGTGGTGAGCCACTGGCAAAGGCAGGAGCAGCAGTGGGTCTCCTGGGTTCCAGGCTGGTCCTTATCTGCCATGGCATCCTGCCTCTTCCCAGCCACCCCACGGCTTTTCCAGTGCTCCTTTAAACTCTGCTGCAGAGCTGCAACACCGAGGGGGTTCAGATAATTCAATTTACCCCTGGTTTGTCAATCTGCTCCTCTCCCCAGAGCCCTGTGGCTGATCTGTGCTGCTGGGAACTGAGCTGGGCTTGTTTGGTTTCCAGGGAGGAGATAGAGCAGAGCTGGGATGCTGCAATGAACCCTGGAGATGCCATCCCAAAAACAACTCGTGGTCTCATGCCAGGCTACCTGGCTTTAAATTGTGTCCAACTGCTTGAGCCAGGCAACTAAATACTTCTGAAGCTCATTAAATTAACCAGTTAGACCAAGGCACTATACAGGGTATACAGGCCAAAGAAAGCATTGTGGGTGTGACCTTTTGAAGGAGAATTATAGTTGCTGCTGATCAGGCTGTTACAGTAAATGTAGTGTCAGTGTTTCCATATTGGTCTCTCTTTTTTTCCCTTTTATTTTTTTTCTTTTTTCCCTGTGTGAAAAGGTTTGCACCTCATGAAAAGGTTTTCATGTGCTGTGAAATGCGATGTGAAACCACCGGATCTTTGTTACCCAAAGAACTTGATCTTTGTGTTACCCAAAGAATCTGTGCTGTTTCTATAGGGAAGGAGCAGCCTTTAAAACTGGGATTCGAACTGGAATTTGATGCCAGCCACCCAAATGTTTGGGGGAATTCAGCTCGCACTTGATTCTCCCTGTTGTGAAAAGCATTCCCTTTGGTTCAGCACTGGAGAGGTGACAAATCCCAGGGTCAGGTAACCCTGTGTGCTTCACTCTGGGGACACAAACAGCTTTGCAGTGTTTGTGATTTGTTTTGGGTGGGGTGGCTGGGAGGAGGGCAGGATGCTGCTGCATCCCCACAAAGGGCTCTGTTACTGGGCAGGCTCTGGCTCAGCCCACACAAACGTGCAGCACTTGATTAATCACCTTCATTATGGTCATATTCTCACCCAGCCGGGAGCAGGGCACTGTGCAGAACCAGCCTCCTTTTGTTTCCCCTGGAACTGCCAACCTGTTTCCCCAGGCCACACCTCCTTTCTAATTTGAGTGACAAAATTAGGGAAAAACTGGTTTGCATCTTGCTCTTCCATCCGCCTGGGCATGTCTGGGAATCCCTAAGAATGACTGAATTCAGTGGTTTAAACCATTTTCTTTTTTTTTTATTGCACACCTCCCACAATAACTCTGAAGTAGCTTCATAATGGAAATGCTGACACGACTCGATGGCCTCAGCCCCGGGAGTGTGTTCCACCTTCTATTGTTTGCCTTGGCCTCTGTAAATTGTGTATTGCCTCAGTTTAATTGGTTAATTTAATAAACTTCTGCAGTGCTGTATCAGTTGCCTGGCTTAGCTTTTATCCACCAGGCTGATGAAGAAAGTATAAGTTTCAAAAGCTTTCCTGTATGAAGTTAATAAAATAAAAGGTATCTCCTACTATACTTTGCATGTATGTCTTGGAAAGATGGCTTGAATTGGCACATTTTTACAATTAAACCATTTAACAAAACCCTCTAAAAATCTTTTGTGTAGCTTAAAAAAGGGGAGTATTGCACTTAAGGCTGTGTAATGCTTCAGAAGCCACATCTGAATGATACTGTGATAGATGAGTAATGTGATGGTTGACTCTCACAATTAAAAGGCAAATATCATAAACCTTTTAGATTTTTGGAAGTGAGTATAATTTCTTACAATACCTTATGCCAAATGGTATTTTAGATGGACACTTGGGACTGCAGAGCAGGCAGAAAAGTGGGGAAAACACAACAGAAATGGTCAGAAGGTATTATGGAATGGAAGTCTTGCACTCCAGCCTTGTTTGGGGCTTGGGTGACCTGCACACATTTTCTGGTTCTGGCTGAAGCTCCTCACAACCACGAGCAGATCCTTTAACTTCTCTCTGCTTTGTTCCCAGTTTTTCCCATTCTGAGAGTCTCATCAATTCCAGTTGTGAGATTTGGGGCTGGCATGCTGCAGTGGGGCTTTTCCTTTCCTGAGCTGGAGGAACAAAGCTCAGTGCCTTCCCTGTGGGTGCAGCAAAGCCTCTTGCAGGGAGCCCTGGAGAGGCCCCATGTGAGGGAGTGTTTGTCTGTGCTCAGCACAGCCACAGAGCCCAACGCACGTGTAACACGAGCCCATCTTTATCTATTTTAATCCACAGCTCCAGCATCTCAAGATTTAGGGGTATTCATCTATCAAGAGTGATTTAGATATACTTGATCATGCCTCAGGGCAGGGGGACAGCCTAGGTTACTTCTTGATATCCCTTCCAGCCCTGCTTTTTTATGACTCTATTAGATCTGACAACAACAGAATCGTATACTTTGTTCCAAAGGCTCTGTCCATTAATTAGTACTTTGTGGTGCACAGCTCCTCTTCCCTTGAGGAGCTCTAAGAGGTTGACAAGTGCTAATTAAGTCCTACAAGAACTGGTGTGTTGGGTAATTATTATTTTACAGGTAGAGAAACTGAGGTGCAAATGTAACCCACAGGAAGTTTTGGGACAGAGTCTCACTTCGATGCTTAGCATTTTAGCTGCTTAAAATTCTGGCTGAGCTGTGCCTCTGGGCTGCTGTCCATGGAGAATAAGGTGGTGTTTCCCTCCTCCTGCCCACATCTGAGCCAGTCAAGGTTGTAATGGGCTCACCAGCCATGTTTGGGCTGCATCAGCATCAGAGGGACACTGCTGGTAAAATTAATCTGGCCTGTGTGCCAAAAATAAGTTTATTTTTTCTCTATTCCATGCTTCCTGGACTTGCAGAATTACACTGAATTTAAAGGGGAGCTGCCTCAGAGCCTTGAATCAGGCCTCTTGTATGAAAGGGAGGTAACCTCTTGCAGTCCATGCCATTTGAGTGTAATTTTCAATCAAACATTTGCCAGTGTAATTAGTCTGCTTCAGAGTTCTCCGGTGTGGAGTGACGCAGCCAAGTGGCATTTGAGAACCCTTGAAGAGGAAAGGGGCTAATTAGTTTAGCTCTGGGTCAACAGCACCTCAGGAGCCAGGCTGGGTCTCTACCTGGGTTGCTGCTGTTCGAAGTTCTCTGTTCAGCAGTGCCTGGCTAAAGGAGGGTCTCTGGTATGGCTGGAAGAGTTTATTTTGTCCTGCAGCAGGGTCATCACCCATTCCTCTCTTTCCATCCGAGAGATGACATCTACTGATTTTTCCATGCTGCTTTTCCCGTGTCTTATGCATCTCACAACACCTGTTTGCAAAGTTAGGTTTTGTGTAGAATTCCAGAAAAGCTCACCAATTCCAAAAATAATATTTAATGTCCTTAATCAAATTCTGTCCTGAAGACTCAGTGATTCCACTGACTGCTTTGGGTCTGTGAAATCTGCACAGGGATCTGAATTTGATCAGCTGTGGATTCTGATGAAGCAAATTTCATTCCACCACACCAACCCTCAAACCTCCCATTTGTAAATCATCTAGCTGAATTCCTACCTTAGGTCTACACTCACAATTAAAGATCAATTTTAGGAAAGCCCTTCCTGGCTCCACCTGAAACACACATTAAATGTTGGCAAACCAGGAATGCAGACCTGAGAGTACAAATTCCAGGGTGGTAGCAAATTTGTCCTTGATGTGCTGCAGAGGGGCTGGTTAGACAAGTTAAACTCCAATTAGCAGCTTTCGTGTGATGGCAATTTTGTCTTGCTGCCTCTGTCCAGCCCTGTCACGCTGCTGCACATCAATCCCCTCCCCTCCTCCAGGGTGTGGTGCCCATCAACGTTTGCACGCTGTAATTTGTGGTGCTGCTCAGGTTAACAGGACCCCATTTGCCAGTCCAAGCCGTGCCTTGGTGAGAGGGTGAGGTGCCTATGGCAGCCTGGAGGGTTTTTCCCATTCACACACGGTCTCTGGTAATCCCACAGGACACAGGGGTGTGATGCAGCTTTGCACGGCAGCACAGCCTGGGAGGGATGGGCTGGTTTATCAGGAGGACAGGAGGAAGTGGTGGGAATGAGCCCCAGAGATGTTACTGCCTCATTTGTTCTCCCTCATGAAGAGGTTTCCTTGACCAGGACTACACATTTGGGCTTTGCAAGTGATCTTGTCCCAAACTGTGCTGGATGTGCAGTGTTCCCTGTGCTGTGTGATAGCCACACCATGACAGGACAGGTCACATCCACAGAGCTGCACGGTCCCTGTGCAGTGCCCATTTTTGGGAATTCTGCCACAGGGTTGCAAATCTTAGAAAAACTATTTGTGTGGTTGAGAACATCTCTCCCTGTATGGGATGTTTCAGAAATGGGGCTCCTTTTCTTTCACATGGTGCTCTGCAGAATGCAGAAAGGAGAGCTGGCATCTCCCAGCTCTTTCCAAGGAAGCAATCCCAACCTGTTCTGCTGGAGAGGCCGCAGCCAGCTGGAGAGGGATGGAGAAGCATTGGGAACAAGTAACAGCCCCTGTTTTTCCCATCATTTCAAGCCAAGAAGGCTTGTGAATGGACATTAGCAATGAATCCTCCCCCTTCTCCACTCCTTGTGGGCCCAACCTCCTAAACCTGTCCCACTCTGTTGTGTGTCCAAATCTGGAGCGTATTCCCACCAGGACAGGCTGCATGTTATGGCTCTGCAGGAGGATGGGACCACTAAGGGAAGGTTCAGTGGCCAAGGGCTGCAGTTGAGACCCTGGCTGAGCAGATTGAGCAATCCCCAGCTGCTAAGAGAGCAAATCACTGAGCAGAAATGTCCTTGAGCATTGCCAAAATGGCCAATGGATCCATATCCGTGTCCTAGCAGAGCTGGGCATTTCAGCCTGAGCATTCATGTGGAATCAGAGGTGAAGGGCTGGCAGGGGACAGCAGCAGAGCAGTCCAGGGGATGTTAAACACCCCCTCTGACTGCAGCCAGCCCCTCTGAGCACATCCATGTCCATCTGGCAGGTAATTAGCTGGAGCTCTGGTGGAAGCATCAGTGAAGGGATCCCTCTTGCCACATCTCCTCGTAAAGTGACTACTCTAATTTTTGTGACATCCAGCTGGAGGGGCTCTGTATCTGTCGTTACAGACCATTAAACTCCTTCAGATTCATCTATATATTTTAAGTAGTTTCTGACCCCTGGGTGACAGTGGCTTAGGGGGATCTGACTTTTAAAAAATTTTTTTAAGGAACATTTTCTTGGATGGAACGAGTCAAAAAGTTTTTGGCTAAGGAGGGTGCATGTTCATAAGCTCCTGTCCCAGCAGGCTGGGCATGGACAAAATCTGCCTTCCACAGCAGCTTTGTATTTCCCTGAATAACAAAAATCTGTAGGATTGTCCCTGATCTTACCACCAAATGGGACAGTTTTGTCTCCAGCAAGATTTCCTCCAGTTTCTCAATTTCAGTGGTCTTGGTACTGGTAGGCACAAATTTTCCTGGAAGAGGCAGTAAGGAGTGGAAATGCTGCAGGGAATAAGAGCAGTCTGCTTCAAAAAGCTGCAAGGAAAATGTTTCTTAAAAAGCTCCTTGGATTCTGGAGGGATGGTGATAGCAGTGAAGGGACCAAAAAGGGGAATTGGTTCAGGCTGAATCAAATGCTGTTTGACTCAATACATAATGCTTCCTTTCATTAAAGTGCCTGCAGTATTTTCTTGTTAATTGAAATTAATTTATTAATTTCGGTTTGAAAATGTGTAAGCACTTTCAGGCTGATGACTTTTATTTTTTCAGCTGAAGTGACAAATCCAACATAAATTTGCAATTTATATACCTGTTTTCTTTGGGCTGGGATAAAAGTTAGAGCTGAGAAACTCAGCCTGCTTCTGATCTGGACAACACCTTCTGCCTAAGGATGCTTTCATTAATGAATAAAGGGATAAATAAGGGGAATCAGAGCCCAGTAGATGCTCTGTGAGGGCTGAGGATTTCACACAAAGAAAAATTGAAAGAAATGGGCAGTGCAGATATGTTGAACAAAATTTTTTGTCCTTGTGCAAGGTTTTGTTCTGATTTCTGTGATGGTCCTGCATGCTGAAGTGTCTGTAACAGTGGTGAGCTGGAGATTTGCATAAATAATAATGTATATTTAACAAAGTGTGGAGCAGCAGAGGAGTAGGAGACCTGACTACTCCAAATCACCTTTTTCAGGCCATCTTCATCCTTCACCTTCTAACCAGTGAGGTTAGAATGAGGTCCCAGTTTCTTATTAACAAGTCTTCAACCCCAAAAATTGTGCCCAGCCTATTTTTTTTTTCTTTAGCTAAAATAAAGGGTATTTTTTTTTGCCTTTGTAGGACCAGGAATGAAAA